TTTAATACGGGGAGGCTCCGCCCCGAGGTCCAACCCCTTACCCTTTTATATACCATTTTGGCAGAAAAGGAACTCCTTTTGTATTCCTTTTATTGAGAAGGTTACTCCTTTCACATACCTACTTTAAAACACTGCACCCCCCTTCTAAACCCTTGTAACGTCCATTCGAAATATTTTAATTAAAGGCCCTTGTAAATACCTAAATGACCGATTTCCCTACCCTTTTATATACCTCAACTTGTGAAATCCCTACACTTTTATATACTTGAAGCCTGGAAAAGGTATCCATTTCGGGCGGAACCTTTCCGTATAGGCCATTATAGGGAGTACCCTCCCGGGGAAAGATCCCGGCTAATTCGCACTCTAAAGGGAAACAAAATACGCTTCGACTGAGCCATAGCAGGGATTCGAGTTCTGCTCTGGGCGGTCGTTTCTCGAAGGTTCCGAAAAGTTTTCTCACCCGGAAAGCCGTAGCAAAATCTCAAACCTTATCATTACAGAGCTATTTTATTTACATATTCTTAATATAACGAGAAGTTCCCTTTATACAAGAAGTTTCAGGAGTATACACCTTTCTGTTTTTAGATACAGATTAACAAAAGATGGCTTTGCGGGCCCGAAAAGTTTCCGGGCCTTTCGAGAAATAGGCCCCAGATCTGAAGCCCGTCTATTCCATTTCGGAGCACGGGCCACCAACGAAAACCCTCCAGTCCCCTCTGTCCCTTGCCAAACGTTCCATCTTGGTCCAGGTGTAGCTCTTCGACTGTAGGTCTGTAGCCCTTCTCCAGCTGTTACGCGGTCCCGATCCGTTCGCCCTAAGGGTTCCACCAGAGGGCCCGAGTTAGCCAATAGTAAATGACTTATAATGGCATGGGCTGGAATCAAGAGAAATTCTTGATCCTCTCTTGGTTTGAATTCAAGATAGAGAGTACTTCTAGATAGCCAAGTTCAAGTTAGTGTTGTTCTTGTGTAGCTTTCTGCGGTTTATAATGTCATTAACACATCTTTTAGAATCAATAATCGTAACAATGCAAGTGTGCATTGCTTGAGTCTGGGTTTTTGTCGAGGGTCGAGGGTCGAGGGTCGAGGGTACTATGTCGAGGGTCGAGGGTACCATGTCGAGGGTATTAAAACATGA